CGGGAGGGAGAGGGTGGCAGGGAGCAGACGGCTCACAATCTGATCGCTTCTCCTTGCTCCCTGACACCCCAGAGAAAAACCACACATTCCATTTGGTGGTCGTCAGAAATAACATGCTTAAGAAACCTGGAATTACAAAGCTGCTTAATTAGAGAGCGATGGTTTCACTGGGATATGCCCAGTTTTCCCTGGGGGTTGTATCTCCTTCTCCAAGTGGCCCGCCCCCCGCACCAGCAGCTAATTGCTACCTTTGCATGGTGCCACGAAGACACTCACTCCCTTTATTTCATCGTCTGTGACATCGGTGCTCACTTCTAAAGAGACATTCTCTTCCACCTCTCCTTCTCCATCAGCGAACTTGAGAAGCTGACATGAGGAAGGAGGGTGGACTCCCTAGCCTCAGAAAGGTCCCCAGCCACGGGATGAGCATCTCCTCCCTGTCAGGTGCTGGCAACACGACCGACTATGCTGGGACCAGTGGACCAGGGACCACACTTTGAGTAGCAAGTCTTTTTCTAGGTCAGCTGAGATAATACTTTCTCTTAGGTCTTGGAAGACTTACCTAATCACTTCTCCACTCCCACCCCATCCTTCAACTCTGGCCCCCTCGCGCTCAGCTCGAGCTGAGTTGTACCACACTGTGTTAAAATAATGTGTCTAGCATCTCTCTTACTCACTGGGTAGTGAGCTCCCTGAGGACAGGGATGAGGTCTTGGTCATCTTAGTATCATCAGAGCCTAGCGCTGTGTCTGGCACATAATGGCTGTCTAGTAATGGAAGGTGGGGGGAGGGACATCAATGGTTGGGAGAGAAAGTAGGAGGGAGGGAAGAAGAAAGGAAAGAGGGAGGGATACATTGATGGATGCATGGATGGGAGAGAAGGAGGAGAGGAAGAAAGGAAAGGAGCGTTCTTTGGAGGGTCACTAAATTCAAGAAGGAGCAACAAAAGCAAGTTAGGTTGGACATTGGGAGAGACTGAGCTTTTGGCCCAGAATGAGCTGGAACATGCAATCATTGAGTGAGCCTAGATGAGGGCAGTTGAAAGTATGGGGCAGCTGAGGCTGAGGTGGTGCAGGAAAACGAAGCTCACAACATCAGTATTCAGCAGAACCCGGGGCCTGCCGTCAGGACACGGACAGAGTTTGAGCAACCCTCGCCACTCGCTGAGCTGCTGTACCATTGCTTCCGCTCCCACCATAGCACTGGTTTGTAAAACCAACATGGTGCCCATCCCCTGCATCTCTGCTTTCCCAGTCACCTCTACCTTCCCTCAGGCTGCAGAGGAAACCAGCATACCCCTCTGAGGGGTATGTCCAGGGATCAGGGACCAGTGGAAGTCCGGAGGGGGTAGAGGGCCCTCACAACAAGGGCACAGCCAGTCACAAAGGTCAGGCATTGGGATGAGGGGACAACTGGATGCCCTTTCTTGGTCCTTAGCTTCAAGGGGTCCCCTTCCTAGGCCCATCAAGATGGAATATAGTGGGGTAGATAGAAAGTCTTTATCCTCATCCCAGACATCATCCATCTGATGGATAGGCAACATGTTTTTATAATCTCCCCCCCCCAATGTAAACATATCATATGCTCAGTACAAAAAAAGAAAAAATTGGAAAAGGCAGAAAAACACAAAGATTATGGGGACATTTCCACTCAGAACTATTATGTCAATATTTCCTCGCGTCAATAGGTACCCTTCGCCAGGATGATTTTTTACCTTTCCCTTTTGAAATTTTAGACTTAACGAAGCATTGCAGAAAGGGTACAGAGTCATCACATACCCTTCCCCCAGCTCCCCCTAATGTTAACATCTAGTCTGACCACAGTGCAGTTAGCAAAGCCGGGAGATGAACATCACTGCTGTTTCTATTAACAAAATGACAGACTTTACCAGATTTTGCCAGTTGTCCCACTAACGTCTCTTTCATACTCCAGGGATTATTGCATCCAAGACCCCTCGTTGTGTTCATCTGGCATATCGTATCTCATTATTCCTCTCCGACGTGACAGTTCCTTGATCTTGTCTTTGTCTTTTGTGACCTTGACACTTTTGAAGAGTCCTGCACATTTCTTTTGCAGAATGAGCTTCCTTATGGATGTATCTCTCTTTTTTTTTTTTTAAGATTTTATTTATTTATTTGACAGACGGAGACCACAAGTAGGCAGAGAGGCAGGCAGAGAGAGAAGAGGAGGCAGGCTCCCCGCTGAGCAGAGAGCCTGATGCAGGGCTCCATCCCACGACCCTGAGATCATGACCCGAGCCGAAGGCAGAGGCTTTAACCCATTGAGCTACGCAGGCGCCCCTTGTATGTGTCTCTTATTCATGACTCAATTCACGTTTTGTAAATTGTTGACCGGAATAACCACGGAAGTGATACTAGGTTCTTCTCAGAGCATCATACCAGGGTGTCCAGGCTGTTGACAGAACTTACTGCTGGGGGTGTAAATCTTGATCATTTGGATCACGTGATATGTGCTGGGTTTCTCCACAGTTGCTGTTTTTCAGGATAATGTTCGAATGGCTGTATGGCTTTCCATTATAGCTCTCCACCATAACAAACCCTCTTGTTGTACATTTATTTACTTGTGTCTATTGGTACTGTTACAAAGAATGCTGCTGTGACCGTCATACACATCCCAGTGCACATCCTGGATAATTTTGTTAGGATGAATTCCTAAAGATAGAATCGCTGGAGCAAATGCTATTCACATTTTTAAGGCTCTGTGTGCCTGAGGCATGGATGGTTGCTTCTTTCTATGTTTGTTTGTTTGAATCAGCTTTATTAAGGTGTAATTTAAATACCAAAAAAAAGTGCAGTTTTGAAGCATGTATTTCAATGAGTTTTTTTTAAATTAACAGATAATGTGTTATTTGCCCCAGGGGTACAGGTCTGTGAATGATCAGGCTTACACATTTCACAGCACTCACCATAGCACATACCCTCCCCAGTGTCCATCACCCAGCCACCCTATCCCTACCCTCCTCCCCCCCAGCAACCCTCAGTTTGTTTTGTGAGATTGAGAGTCTCTTATGGTGGAGTGCCTGGGTGGCTCAGTCATTAAGCTTCTGCCTTCAGCTCAGGTCATGATCCCAGAGTCCTGGGTTCAAGCCCCGGATCAGGCTCTCTGCTCAGCAGGAAGCCTGTTTCTCCCTCTCCACTTCCCCTGTTTATGTTCCCTCTCTCGCTATGACTCTCTCTGTCAAATATATAAAAATTTAAAAATATTTAAAAGGGGCGCCTGGGTGGCTCAGTGGGTTAAGCCTCTGCCTTCAGCTCAGGTCATGATCTCCTGGGATCGAGCCCCACATCGGGCTCTCTGCTCAGCGGGGAGCCTGCTTCCACCCCCACCACCTGCCTCTCTGCCTACTTGTGATCTCTCTCTCTGTGTGTCAAATAAATAAATAAAATCTTTTTAAAAATTTGTTTAAAATAAAAATCTTAAAAAAAAAAAAAAGAAAGTCTTTTATGGTTTGTCTCCCTCCTGATCCCATCTTGTTTCAATGAGGTTTTTGGTTTTTTTTTTTAAGATTTTATTTATTTGTTAGAGAAAGAGAGAGAGAACACAAGCAGGGGGAGCCGCAGACAGAGGGAGAAGCAGGCTCCCTGCTGAGCAAGGAGCTCAATGCAGGACTCGATCGATCCCAGGACCGGGGATCATGACCCAACCAGAGGCAAATGTTGGACTGAGCTACCCAGGCCTTCCCCATTTCAATGAGTTTTGGCAAATGTATACACTTGTGTAACCACCATACCAATCACATTATAAAATATCACTCCCCCAAATTCCTTGATGCCCCTAATAGTAGGTCCTCCTCCTCACCCTAGGCAACCACTGATCTGATTTCTCTCTGGACAGATTAGTGTTAATCTATTCCAGGATTTCATATAAAATAATTGTGCAATATGTATTCTCTTATAACTGTCTCCTTCCATTGGGCACATGCATGTGAGACTCAGCCATGTTTTTGTGTAAATCAGTCATCTCTTCATTTTTATTCCTGAGTAGTATTCTCTTGTACAAATACACCACAATTTGTTTATCCATTCCTCCACTGATGGACATTTGGGCTGTTCCCACCTTGGAGGTATTATGAATAGAATTGCTATATGATCATTTGCCTATAAGCAGACATATATTTTCATTTCTCTGGGGTCCATACCTAGAAGTGGAAATGCTAGGTCATATATAGATGTATGTTTAAATTTATTAGACATAACAGGATGGGGTTATTTTCCATCTCATTTTACAGCTCAGGCCACAGAAAGCTGGAGGGACTTGTCCAAGAGCAAAGGGAGGAAGGGAAATAGAATTGGTTGAGTACTGCTCCATGCCACGCACATGCTAGATGCTCTCTGTGAATCTTCAGAGCAGTCTGTATGACAGGAGTTGTGGTTCCCGTTCTGTAGATGAGGAAGCCGGGGCCCGTGAACTTGCTGCAATGCAAACTTCAAACCCAGCCCCATCTGAATCCCAAATGCATCTCCTTCGCCCAGATGTCCCCCTGTGTTCTTGCAGACAGTAGCTGGGAAGGAGAACGCATATCCCCCTCCACCTCTAGGCCTGCCCTTACTTGCCTCCTATTGTCCATCCAGTCCCTGCCCCAGAGGCTGGGCCCCCCGTGATGCCTGGGTCAGCCCTTGAGACAAGGGCAATCTGTGCGTGGGGCCAGGGACCGTGGCCCCAAAGCCAAAGCAGGCACCGGGGAGTGACCCACACTCCAGCCCTCTGACAGAAGTGTCCAGTTTCTTCCTCCCTGAAATGCGATCCTCCGAGCTTTGCTCCTCGAGGCTGGTGGGCAGTGGGTGAGGGCGGCGGGCAGGGGCCACGTCTCCCCAGCCATATCGCAAACCCATTAGGAGCAGGTCTGAGTGCTTTCCAAAGCTGATTAATGGCCTGCCTGTGACCTGGGACATCATTACTGCCCAGGCTGGGGGACCCCCGGCTGGGTCCTTTGGGTCTTTTACAGCTAATAATAATTGATGCTTTCTGTGTGGTTGCAGGGCAAGTTCTATCTGGTCATCGAGGAGTTGAGCCAGCTGTTCCGATCACTTGTCCCCATCCAGCTGTGGTATAAATACATCATGGGGGACGACTCCTCCAACAGCTACTTCTTAGGAGGGGTCCTGATTGTTCTCTACAGCCTCTGCAAGGTGAGGTGGGCCGGAGACTTAAGGGCTGGCATGAGGAAAGTCCACACATTTGCCAGGTCTTGAGGGCAAGCAGGGAGCTTGGAATCTTTTTTTTTTAAATGGGGGGGGGGGTGGCAACTCCTTGGCACTGAGCAGGTACGCAGGGCTGTACCACCCCCACATTTAGTTCCAAGACATTTTCATCACGCCAAAAAGAAACCCTGTACCCATTAAGCCATCCCTCCCCCTTTTGCTCACTACCATCCCCCAGCCACTGGCAACCACCAGTCTGCTCTCTGTCTCAATGGACTTGCTTGTTGTGGACATTTCGCATAAATGGAATCCTCCACCGTGTGGTCTTCTGTGGCCGGCTTCTTTCACTTAGCATCATATTTCCAAAGTTCATCCACATGGTGGCATATATCAATACTTCATTCCTTTTTGCGGTTAAATCCACCCTAATTTCTTGCCCATAAAGCTCACCAGATGCTCTCCTTTCACATATTCCATCATTACTCCTGTATTTATGGGCGAGGAGATGGGGGCTCAGAGAGAAGCAGCTCACCCAGCGTCACTCTGCTAACGATAACAGAGTGGGCTTCAAACCTGGGCAGCCTGCTTCCAAAGCCTGGAGCTCTTCTGTAGATGATACCCCCCCCCAAACTTGTTTCCATTCCTAGGTACAAATCGGGTTTTTCCCCCCACCCATAAACACATCGTCCTCTTTCTTTTCCCTTCTCTATTTCTGGCTCTAGAGAATCCTGGGGAAATATATTCTTCCCTTCTCTTCCTCCCAGCAGGACTAGCTGGGCAATCCATGCCCTATCAGCCACTGGGGCCTCTCTTGCCTGCTGATTCTGATCGACTGGCAATGTCTGACTGGCGAGCTGGCTGGGTTTAGAATCAGGGTGCTGTGATCGATTAGCAATGCCTGTGCTGGGCGTGGTAGTGGGGAGAGGTAGAATGTGTGTCCTGTATTTGCTTTCCTGGCCCGGGTAGCAAGGGAGACTATTGACAGAAGGCAGCAAGCCAAATGCCAAGCAAAAGTGATAGGAATGAGGAGCTCCAGATGGGATAGAGTGTCCTGAAAATGTTCATCATCAAAGACAAGGGGTCAGTGGAGGTGGTTTGGGAGTGGTAAGAAAGATCCTAAACAACCCTTGGAGACTTTCAGCCATCACTCCCCTCTCTTTTCAGTCATTCGACATCTGTGGTCGTGTGGGCGGAGTTAGGAAAGCCCTGAAGCTTCTCTGCACCTCTCAGGTGAGCTGACTTCAAATGGCCCCCACTGAAGTCAAAAGAACCAGGAGCCAGAGACAGCTCTCTCAGCGCTCCTGAGGACATTGCTCCGGGGAGGCTCCCCAGCTGGCCGTATCTCTCTCTCCTCCCTCATACAGAATTACGGCGTCCGGGCCACTGGGCAGCAGTGCACAGAAGCCGGTGATATCTGTGCCATCTGCCAGGCCGAGTTCCGGGACCCTCTGATCCTCATGTGCCAGGTGAGCGGGATTGGACGGGGCCAGCAGGGGATAGAGGCTGGGGGGCCTCTAGGGCCATGTTCCATGCAGAAGTCCCATGTGCCTCCTCAGTGACCAAACCTCAGGGTTCTGCGGTGGGTCTTTAGGGACAGGATGGTTAAGACTGGAGTCGGATCGGACAGGCTCTGCCTCTTCCTTGGTGGGTGGCCCTGGGCAGGTTCCTTCACCTCTGTGAGCCCTGGATTTATCAGCCCAGTGTCAAGAATCACAAATTCAGTATGCCGTAGTCAGATTCGTCTGCGTAGGAATCCAGACAGCACTCTGAACCCTTCAAGAGTGGATCATTCCATCTTCCTGAGCCTTGGCTTTTCTCGTTTATAAAATGTGCATCGTAATACCGACTTCATAGAGCTATGATTATGATTAAATGAGATCATCAGTGAAAGAGCAAAATTTGAATTAGTCACCTATAAAAATGGCTCTGGTTAAAATTCTTATCATCACTGTAATTACTATTACTGTTTGTTTTCGTTATTAGTTGTGGGCCACCAAACCATGGTAGTGAGTACTGGTTACTCCCTTTTAACTCCCTAAATGTACCCCTCCTCCTCCTGACATCAGGGGCTAAGATGTCAGTTCAGCAGATGTATACGAGCCAAAGTGTCCTATCAGATACTGGGGAGGGGAGGCAGAGGGCACACAGACCCTGTTCCCTGCTCTGGCAGCTCCCGGTCTCCTTGGGGAGACAGACACATACATAAATAACTATGAAACAAGGCAGGCAGTGATAAGTGCTGTGTAAGAGAGATTCATGCAGCATCCCGGGGGACCGGGACAGAAAGCGATGAGTTCCAGGCTGGGAAGGCTTTTTGCAGCAGGCACACTGGTAGAAACAGGAGCACGGCTGCTCCCCTGTTCAGCGACCACCACCAACCCCTATGCTGCCCCCCGCCCAGGGGTCAGAGGACAGGGAGGTGAGGTCCTTTTCTGGCATCAGCAACATTCTTTTTTTTTTTTTTTTAATGTTTGGGGGATGTTAGGAGGTTTCTTTTTTGCATTTTATTTATTTTTAAATTGAGAATATATTTGCATGACTCAGAATTCAAACTGAGGAACTCATGAGTTGGCAGTCACAGGGGCTACATGCAGCATGGGACCAAGGTTGGATCCTGGAACAGAGAAAGGACGGGAGTTGGAAAACCAATTTGAGGTAATCCAGACAGAGTTTGGAGTTCAGCGGTTGGTCACGTATCAATGGGGGTTTCTTGGCTTTGATGTAAAAATAAAGCGAGCTGATGATATTGGGGAATTTAAACTTAGTGAGGGGGCTAAATAAGGATTCTCTGCACTATCTTTACAACTCTTATATAAGTCTAAAATTATTCCAAAATTAAAAGTTTATTTTTTAAAACATTTTAAATATACCACAAGGAAAACAGTGACCGGCCTCCTACCCTCCCCCTAGCTTCCTAGTTTCCTTTATTAAATCTTCATAGAGATGCTTTATGGAATTAAAACACTGTATGTTCAAACACACACACACACACACATACACGTCGTTTTCAGAAAGACCGATGTTGTCTCATATTCTCCCCCAAACTGTGTTCTGCATCCTTCCTCGTTAACTGGAAACAGTGTCCTAAGAGTACCCTCCTTCTTTGCCTATCATCCCCCTTCATGGATGGACCACTGTTGGTTTTACCATTCCACTAGGGATGGGCACTTGGTAGTTTATAATCTTCCGTAATTACAATGGTGGCTGTCAGGAGAGGTCAGAAATGGGGAGACCTACAGCAGCTACCTGGGCCCGTCATGTGGACTGCATGGGTTGAGCCAGTCAAGCATTTAGAGCTACGCCTGCTCAGGGTTCAGTCCATATTGGCTCTTCCTGGCACGCGTTCCATTTCACACATGTGCGGGCTCTCGGTAGGATAAATTCCTAGTGGTGGAATTACGAGGTCAGAGGGTATCCAGTTTTGACAGATATTGCTAAATTACCCTTCATAAAGACTGTATCTGTTTATGCTCCTGGTGCGGAGCATGACACGACCTCTTGCTCCCCTCGCTTACCAACACAGTGCACATGCCAGCCTTTCCTGAGCCTGGCCAATCTGACAGGTGACGAGCGCAATCTCTGTGCAGTTTTTAATTTGCATTTCCCTAATTACGAGTGCACTTGAGCATCTTTTCATATGGTTCAGAGCCATCTGTATAGCCTTCTCCGTGGCAGCGATGATTTGAACATGATGTCAAGGTGAAAGTCTTGCTTCTTCCTTTCTGGCAAGCTCTCCCAGCCTTCATGTGTTTGCTTCTCTCCCATTCCTCTCCTGGTGCCATGACACCTTCCCACACACGGCAGTGGTCGGAGCCCACAGCCTTGGCCAAACTAGTCTCACTCTGCTGCTGGGAGCTGGGCCTGGGCTGGCGGAGATGACTTCCACAGGCAAAAGGGCCTTGTTAATTCCTGAGCACTTGGAAAGAATGAATGAGTGAGTCATGTGTTTCTTCCCCAGTCAGAGTCTTCCCTGACTCTGCTTCCCCAGACTAACTGGTTCTCCCAGCAGTATGGCCTCAGAGATCCTTGTGTTTTTCCTTCATAGCGATTATCCCGGTTGTCAGCTAGTTAACTGGGCAACTGGTTGCATAAGGTCTGTCTCCTCTTGGCCAAAGCGTAGGCAAACTTGAGAGGGGTGACCGTCTGTTTTGTTAGCAGGTGAATCATAGCACTGACTCAGTAAATATTGGACAGATGGATGGATGGATGGATGGAAGGAATGGGATGGACAGAAGGGGACAGATGGCATGAGATAGATGGGCTGGAATGGATAGATGGATGGTTGGTTAGGATGGAGATGGATGGTAGCCAGGTCGAGGGGTGGATGGATGAGTACAGAGGTGCATGGACAGAGGTATATGTGTGTGGGTGACTGAGTAGACGGACAAATGATGGACCCACCTGCGGGTGCATAGGTGGGTAGATATGGGATTGGGTGGGTAGACAAATGAATGGGTAGATGAACAGGAGAGATGAGTGAGTGGGTAGAGGAAGAGCCCACCAGGCTAAAGGAACATCTATCTCTCCTTCAAAGGGACATCAAAGTAGGCACAGTGTGTCACTCACACACAGGCCCCACCTCCCTCCCCGCCCCCCATCAGAGCCTGGGAAGCAGATTGTCAATGGAAGCGGTGTCAGGCAGACACTGGGCATGCCCAGAGGTTAGACCTCTCCACTCAGGCAGAAGCACCTGCCCAGTTAGTCACTCCCCAAGTATCTGTGCCATGCCTCCTGCCAGGCGACGGGACATCAAGGAAAGGGCACTTTGAACACCCAGACACTTGGCTTATTTAAAAGATTTCTTTCCAAAGAGAAAAGTCAGAGTGCAATTAGCCCTTGGTCACTACGGGTTTGTTTCATTTTTATTTTGTTTTGTTTTGGTTTGTTTGAGTATTGATGATGTAAAGGAAGGAGGGCAAGAGAATGGTAATTTCTATTGATTTTGTCTTTGCGGGTGCCTCACACTTAATGCTTTGTAACAGGCCTTACTCATTTCCATCCTTCCAGACACCGTGGGAGGGGGGGGACAGTGACCCTCTTCTACAGAGGCAGAGGTAGGCTCAGCAAGGAGAAAGGACAGACTTTCCTCAAGGCTCCCCTGCTCTTTGGCAGCAGAACCAGATTCCAAACCCAGAGCCCCGGATTTCAGAGGCCGGGACCTTTCCCCTTCTTGCTTTGAGATGTCCTCAAGGCTGCATTGCGAGATTAGAGCCCTTTTCCTGGAAATTCCTAGGAGCCTGCTATGCCCCTCGCAGCAAAGCCTGTGCGCATCACCTCCAAGGAATGAAGGAACAGCTGAGCTGCCATTGCTCGGCACCTGTGCTGACTCCTCCATCCGGGCATTTCTGCATCAGGCGCTTCCCGAGCACCCACAGCGCCCCAGCCACTAACTTTGCAACCCGGAGCAACACATTTCGTTGTCGCACTGACCCTCCATGTCCTCTGTCTCCCAGGAATGAAAACGTTTGCCCTGGGCAGCTTGCGGGCTCTTTAAAATACAGTCAAACGAGATGACACGTCTATCTGTGTGTAGGTTTTGAAAAGCATAGCGTGTTATGCCAATACTCAGTGTCAGTGATTAATTCTAAATCTGGACAAAGCTAGCCACGTTCGTGTGATTCAAGAGGATCTGTGGTTAGGGCTGGGTGTGTATGTGTCTGACAGTAGCCCCACTTTCAGTAATGTCATTTTCAAAACCAAGGGCTGCAAACATCCCTGTCCACATTGTCCATGTGTGACCAGTATAAATAGAACGTAACGGGGAGAGTGTTCACTAGGGAGGCAGATGCCTCTTGTATCGGTTTCCCGTTGCTGCCTAACAAATGGCCCAGCGCTCTGCGGCGGAGAGCAGCTAGCTTTCATCGTCTCCTGGTTTGCGTGAATCAGCAATCCAGGCACACGCAGCTGGGTCCCCTGCTTTAGGCTGCAGTCAGGACACCAGCCAGGGTCCCATGGGGGAAGGCTCTGCTTCCAAGCGCGATCACGTGCCGGTGGCAGGATTCAGTTCCTCATGGGCTGTGGGACCAAGGGCCTCCGTTCCTCATGGCCAGAACCTATCCCAGCTTCCTTGTCACACCGACTTCATCAGAGTGAATATGGGGGAAGAAAGTGTGAGAGCAAGACGGAAGGCCCCATCTGCTGTAACCTAATCTCAGAAGTGACGTCCCGTGCTCGTTACTGTATTCCGTGGGCTTGAAGCAAGTCAGTAAGTACAGCCGCATTCAAGGGGAGGGACAGGCCACGCGGGATGTGAATCCCAGGAGGAAGAGATCACGGGGAGTCGGAATAGAAGTCAGCCTGCCACATCCCTGAAGCTGTATTTCAGCCTCACTACTTAACAGCTGTGTGCCCTTGGGCTGGTGGCTCTCCCTCTCTGAGTCTCGGGGGTCTGTGAGGTGTCATGAGACTGTACTTAGACGATGCCAGCAGTGCCTGGCACAGCATCTGTGCTCAGTGAGGGAGAGGGCCCAGGGTCATTACCTGTACTCCTCACCTGAACGATCCACCCAGACCCGGCCTGGCTGTTTCCTTGTTTCTCAGCTCACGCTGAACACCCAAGTGCCAGGCTAGGAGATGCCCCTTTCCCATCCAGAGCCTCCTCTCTCACATGGGGGTTAGCTGCTGTGCTTGTGGGGGCTCTTGTCCCCAGCCCTCACTTTACCCGCCTGCTCCAAATCTTTGAGCAAAACTTGAGGAGTCTGGATGGAATTCAGGGGGGCAGGGAGGGTGGCCCATGCGACCCCAGGGGTTCACCCACCTCCGTGCTCTAGGAGGCACAGCCAGGGAACCGTGACTGACCTTCCCCACTGACCATAAACCCACCTGATCCTACACTTCACAGCCCAGAAGGGCCCCTCCTTTCCCTCCCTCTGTAGGGGCTCATCCTTCTCTCCAGATGCTAGAAGTAGGCCCAGGGACGATGACCTCCTCCCTCCTCCCGCTGGGCCCCTGGGCCGACATGTGGTCTTTAAACCTCTTTATTAGGCACTAGGTTCCATCCTGCCTAATTCTCTGAGGGGGGACCATGAGCTCCCGGAGGGCAGTGGCTGGGTCTTAACCATGCCAGTGTCTCCAGAATCTGCCCCCGACCTATGTGGGAGGACATTCCTTCGTCAGCTGCTTTTACGGTCCCTACTCTGTGCAGGCTCAGGGCTGGGCAGTGGGAACACAACAGAGGTTGCTGCCCTCTCGAAGTTTACTGCCCAGAGGGTAGGCAGGGCAAATGGTAAATGAGCAGTTAGAAGAGTGGTTCTCAAAGTGTGGCCCAGGTACCCCCTGGTGTTCCCTTTCACTTTCATGTGCTTGTGTAGTCTTGTGTTTTCAATAGATCTTGGTTTCCATTTCTAATATGGTAAATATAGCCAGATTTGACCCACATATACAAAAGCCCTTTGAGATCATCTGTGATTTTTTAAGACTGTAAAGGGGTCTTAGGACCAGAACATTTGAGAAATACTGACTGAGACGTGAGAGAGCCTCAGTGAACGGTTTTTTGAATGAAGGAATGAAAAGCTTCTCATTTTCCACTCACCTGACTCAAGCATTGAGCTTCATGTGAACACGGCTTGTGTTGCTTTCTTCTACTTAAGTATCGCCTTTTCCCAGGGAACAAGGTTAAGTCTCATTTGTTCATTGAGCGAGCATTTCCTGAGCATCTGCCACGTGCTCAGAACCTTGTTGGGAGCGTGGTCCCTGCCCTCCAGAAGCCCTTAATGCAGCGAACAAGACAGATGAGTTTGCGGATCATTCCAGAGGCGTGCGTGTGATGCTGTGAGAGAGACCCTCCCCAGGAAGTATCTGGAAGGGGAAGGCACAGTCAGTGCTTAGATTTTCAGGAGACAGTAAGGCATGGAACACAGGGGACATCATGGAGAAGGGGAGGTGTCATGGCTTGAGCTCAGTCTTCTGCAAGAAGTAGGTGCCCACCAGCTGATAAGGACGGAGGAGGGGCATAAGAGCATCCCAGACAGATATTACAGCTTGCCCTGAGGCTTAGCAGTATAACTAAGCTTTGCACTGCAAGTTATCCCGTGTGTCTGTGACATTGGCTGTCCTGGAGGGAGTGATGAGGAGGAAGAGGGGAGGGCGCCATTGTGGAGGGCCTTGAGTGCCCTGGTTGGGACTCCGAGAGAAGCTGCTGGGCCTGCTGACCCCTGGGTCCTGCCCTTCAGACCATAGCAAGAGCCCAGGCACATCCTTCGAGGCTATATGTGGCCTGCTCACCTTTGCCGCCCACTTCTTACACTCTCCTGTTGTAGCCATGTTGGCCATCCTTGAGTGCCTCAATGCCTTCCCATCTGAGGAGCTTGGCCCAGGTCCTCCCTTAAGCCTGGTGTGCTCTATCCCTACCCCCTCTCTTCACCCATTCAACTCCTAAACATCCTTCAGGCCTTAACACAAGTGCCCGCCCCCCTCCAGGAAGCCTTCCTAGATTACTCCCTGGATCAGACTGGTCCCCTGTTGCATAGGTCATCATGGAGCTCTCCTTTAACACTGTTTACAATTAGGCACCTACTGCACATCCTGCCAGGAATGGGCTTGCAAGAAGCTTACAGTCTGGCATGAATAATCTCTCCTGTATAATAGCCAACAATGATAGCACATTTACTATTGACCAGGCATTGTTCCAAGTGCCTTTTTAATTTTATTTTTTTAAATTTTTTAGGAAACAGTATTCGGATTTTCATATTATCATTTTAAATTATCACTTTTATTTTGAAAAATGTCAAAACTATAGAGCAAAAGGACAGTAGAATGAACACCCTTTTATCTTTCTTCTAGATCCAAGAACATTTTGCATTTGCCTTTTCTTGATGTAAATGTTTCTCCCCCTTGCCTATTGACAATAAGTTGGTGACATTTTGATTCTTCATCCAAAAATATTTCAGTGTTTACCTTTGAAGAACAAGGACATTCTCTCTCATAACTGCAATTCCACCATCACACCCAGGCAATTTAAAATTGATGTAAAATACTATCTATGTATGGTATATATCCAGATTTCTCCAACCGTCTTCAAAATATCCTGCATAGCTAGGATTCCACCCCCCACCATCCAGATTCCAAATGCAAATCGTGTACTGCCTTTGATTATTATGTTTTTAATTGTGAAGCAATCTTCCTATGAGAGGAGTACTCTTAGCAGCATTTTGGGGACCCCTGGCTGACTCAGTCAGTAGAGCATGTGAGTCTTGATCTTGAGGTTCTGAGTTTAAGCTCCACACTGGGCATTGGGCTTACTTAGAAAAAGGAGGGATTCCCTCCACTTCCTCCTGACCTCTCATTTTATAGATAAGGAAACTGAGGCATTGGGAGGTTGAATTATTTGTCCAAGTGATATGGCCAGAAAGTGAGAGAACTCATTGATATTTCCAGCTTCCCTGCCTTTCCCTTAACCCCTGAGCTCTGTTCTCAACCCAGTGACTAAAGGCATCTTTTAAAGATGAACAGGCGGGATGCCTGGGTGGCTCAGTGGGTTGGGCCTCTGCCTTTGGCTCAGCTCGTGGTCTCGGGGTCCTTTGACCAAGCCCTGCATCGGGCTCTCTGCTTGGCAGGGAGTCTGCTTCTCCCTCTCTCTCTGCCTGCCTCTCTGCCTACTTGTGATCTCTCTCTCTCCCTGTCAAATAAATAAATAAAATCTTTAAAAAAAAAAAAAAAAAAGAAATGAACAGGAAATCCTGTTCAGGTCACTCCTCTGCTCAGAGCCCTACCATGGCTCCCTACTTCTTTCCAAATAAAAGTCAAAGGCCTCGTGATGCCCAGAGAGCCCCATGCAATCTGTATCCTTCCATAGCTTCTCTCACCTCATTCTCCATCTCCCTCCCTCCGGTCCCAGGCTCAGCAGCACAGCAGACCTACTCCTGCCTCGGGACCTTTGCATAAGCTGTTCCCTCTGCCTGTGGCACTCTTTTCCCAGAGATCCTCAGGGCACAGTCTTCACGCAAATGTCAGTATTCAGTGAAAGTCCTCCTGGCCCCCCATGCTGAACATAGCAGCCCTCCCAAGTACTCCCTAGCCCCTTCCCCCAGGCTTTTCTTCTCAGCACTTACCACTGATATACTCTACATTTTGGAGATTCATGGGACCAGTCATCTCCCCAAGTAGAGCGCAAGCTCCATGAGGGCTGGAGTCGTCTGTTTTGTTCACTGCTATGTCCCCAGCTCCTAGGACCAAGGTTGGCACATAGGGGACACTCGTCCTGCTTGCTGTCCCCACAGCACGTGTTCTGTGAGGAGTGCCTCTGCCTCTGGCTGGACCGGGAGCGCACCTGCCCGCTCTGCCGCTCGGTTGCCGTGGATACTCTGCGCTGCTGGAAGGACGGGGCCACTTCGGCACACTTCCAGGTGTATTAGGGCTAAAGGACAAGGAACTCAAGCTCCAAGCCACGCTCTGGAAGCCGAGGGATGGCCTGGGTGATTGGGTTCAGCTCCAGAGACTTCCTGGAACACAGGCCTCAAGCGTGTACTATCCTGCCTCCTGCCTTTCTCCACCTCCTTCCCTAAAGCCAGGCCCCTGTGCTCCTGTCCTTCACCTTTCTCCCCTGTCCTGTGGCATAGCCTCCTGTATCAGATCTGGCCTCCTCCAGGAGGCAGGGTCTCCTGCCCCCTCCAAGGGAAGGGACTGGTGATAGGTCCTTCCTGTCGTTATTTTAACTCATAGTGACCTGATGCTGCATCCAGGGAAGGGCCTGGAGATCGCTGCCTCTCCCCAGATGGCACAGGTCTGCAGATCAGAATTCACTGTGGAGCACTTCCCAAATACAAATGCAGGGCCCCACGTTGTCCCTGCAGTAACAGCGTACCAAGCGTGTCGTGCCGGCTGAGCGTCCGGCTTGGGTGACCTCTTGTAATCCTCGCAAAAGCCCTGGGGTGGAGGTCCTCTTGTTTCCTCTGTTTTACAGATGAGGAAACTGAGGCACAGAGCTCCATGTGGTCACTTTCCCAGGGTCACCCAGCTAGCAGGGGTGGACCCTCTGTCTGGCTTCAGACTCTCAACCACCATGCTCGCCCGCCGCTCAGACACTGTAGGCGTGGGGCCCAGCAGATGTGGCTTTTTAGAAGCACGAGAGGTGATTTTGGTGCCCATGCATGGCCCAGGTGCATAGCACATTTGGTTTGGGCCCCACTGAGGATGCCAACAGTGAGCACTGGCTCTGGAAATCTAGATGTGGCTGGATTCATGGAAAGGTTGGTCTTTAAAATTGCCATTTTGCTGGGCTCTGGCTGGGATGCTCAATCGCATTTGGGTATCCAGAATGACCAGCTTTGGTCCCGATGCAGATGACACTGGATCTCCACACCTGTCCCCATTTCTGTCCTCCTCCTTCTGTTCTCATCCTGCCCCTCACTTAAGTCCCAGCCTGTCAACAGTGCCTGTAGCCATCACCGTCTCCCCCTGATGGCCTTGCGAGCAAAATGAACAATTCACGTTATGGATTTTTCCCCAAGCCTGGGTGGTGGCGTAGAGTACAGTCGCGGTCAGAGTTTCTGTAATCTTTATAACAGAGAGATTGATCTCTGTAACAGAACAGCTTCTCCACCTGTGCGACCCTCCCTGCTTTGAATGTGAGAGAAGATGGCACAGGTAATCACTTAGAAGCTTCTGGAATCTTGCCTGCCCTAACCCTCTCCGTACTCTCTTCACTCACCATCAACCTCAGCACAATGGCTGGTGCCAGCGGCGTTACAGAGAAATCAGTCTTGTGGCTCAGGAGCAGATTAGCAACAAAGCCCTAGCAGAAATGGTGGGAGACTTGCTGCCATCTCGCTCTCAGCCAGTAATAACAAGCCCACCCCATCCCTGATAGTTTCAGGACATTTGCCCCCGTGTGCTGTCAAGCCAGGACCTTTTCCTGTGCCTGACATCCCTGGCTCTTTCCTGGTACCCAGCAAGACATCCCTCCCAGGGCAGCATGGCATCTTTCAAGCTCTGTTACTATGGCAATGGCTGCAATGTTACAATCCCACTTGCCTGGATAATCAAGTCGGAAGGGGAAGTGGAGGGAAAGGGGGCCGGGTGGATGCGGCTACTCTGGTCCCCCTGCCTTGAGGAAGAACCAAAGGGAAGCAACGGGAGCTTCTGTGGCTGGTTTTTTATCAGAAAGATCACTGCCTGCAGATGCCATCAAAGAGACACAAGAAATTGAAGCTGGAGAAGATTGATTAACGCGCTAGCTTGTGACAGAGTGGATAAGGCAGAATTCTGATTCCAAACTCTGCATGACTTTGGGAAGCCACTTCACGTCCCCATAGCCATCTCCAGGATGATGAAACCTTGTGTGTTAATCTGCTGGAGCCAGAAAAACTAACAATTGTGGAAGAGTGGGGAAGGCACCCATGGTTTTGCCAGTTTCACTGGTGCCACCAAAAAAATAGAGAAACCCACACGTCTCTAACAATCTTCAAATAATGAGCCATGCCTTTGACGTTATGAACAATGTCACACGTGGAGGATACGTGGGGGCAGGTGGGATGATTTAGTTTAGAATTTTACTCATTCATTCCCTAGCCTCTGGGGGAAGTTCCGTCTGGAGGTTTTCTTTTGGATGGGAGGAACTTCCGCCCTAAGGAGGGACAGCAGCCAGTGAAGTGTCCCAACCATCGGGCTGCATAGGTTCCCCACCATGAGGGTAAAAGCAGCCAAGGGTTGTCATTGGAAAGAAGAACATTCTCCATTGCCCATCCTGGCTCTGCAACTCCTTTGTTATAAGCAGGATTAATCACATATTGGATCGGAGTATCCTGCTCTTAATATTTTATGATTCACTGACTCAAGTTCCTGAAACTCTTGGAGATGGCTCTCTAAATGTAAAAGATCTTGGGCATCATAAATGTGAGAATAAAAAGGCAAGCTTTGGACCTGGATGGAACAGGCTCATTACCTTCATAAGAGGAGAAAGTGAGAGACGCTTGGAGGCACCAGGCGCCTAAGACTTTGGGTTGGGAAAAGGACATGTAAAGTGAGTCCTGGGATCTCTCAGAATTTTGCTTTGGGCTGAACAGAGCTGCCTTTGGCATTTTTAATTTTCCCTTAAGTTCCCTTCTGCCAATAAAAATCATCTGTCGATGAAACTTGGGTTCGTGGTCTCAAGTCTCCGTGAGCCTCTTAAAGCCAGGTGGGACTGTTGGAGGAGAAAAGCTGAGAAGCGGTCATGCAGTGGGTGGCTGGCTGCTCTCAGTTTTGCCCCTAAGCAGATCCATTCAGAAGCACGTGCTTTATTAAGCTTGCTCCCCAGAGAAACCAGCAAAGGAGGGGGAAGAAGCCAAAAGGAGGGTGACTTTCAGAGAAGTCCCAGCTCCACGTGGCCCCTCCGAGCTCTACAACCTCAGCTGCATTTCAGAGTTTGCCCCACCCTGAGGTTTTCTTACTCAAACACCATCAGTCCCTGGATGTGGGTTGCTCGTGGAGGATGCCACGGGTCTCTGAAGGTGCTAGATGCCACAAAGCATGCGAAGGCACAGGATGGAGAAGCTGAACTGGTAGAAAGAGTCAGAAGGGATCCGGGCAGGGGACCCGCGGGGCCCACCTCTGGTTAACCAGAAGGTAACCCTATAATTCAGCATGGGTTTGCTTGGGTGCCGGATTATGATGGGTATTTTAAAATGTAAATTAATAGCATTAGGTGACATTCGTTATGAAAACAGTCACAAAAAACATCATCGGGCAGAATTTGGCTGCAATTATTTGCAAACCAACTCGACATGGCTTAAGTAAGAGGCAGACTTTATTTGGCTCAGGTAACAGTATGGGCCTGGAGTATCGCTGGATTCAGGGGCCCCAGTGATACTAAAATCATGACATTGCATCCCTCTACTCACTTTTGCTCTGAGACGGTTTGATTCCCAGGCAGTCACATCCCATGTGGCGGTAAGAAGCCCTCCAAAAGCTCTGTGCTTATGTTCCACCAGCTTAGCAACCCAGGAGTCCTGAGGTTGCCTCGTTAGTTTGTCCCCAAACCAATCCCTTTAGCCTTTGGGACTTGGAGCCCTGCTGGCCAAGCCTGCATCAGGTGATGAGCCCTGGCTGTGGAGACAAAGGTGGGGAGGAGGATAGGGTCAATACTTCTAAGTCACACGGACTGAGAGTGGGGAGGGGGTGGGTCCCCAAGGGAAAAGAAAGCATCTATTATCTAGAAAAACACCCTGTCCTCAGCCCACCATTCTTAGGAAAAGACTACAGCTTGATCACTCAAGCATCTTAGACCAGGTGAATGTAAGGGAAAGAGAGACCCATGTGCCCATAGTTGGAGACATGAGTCTGCACAGCCATTAGCTTATCTGCATGCATAAGTGATGGTTCTGGGCACTGACCTTGAACTGTCGGGCAAGTTCCCTCAACCTCTTGGCCAACCCAAGGGTACTGTTCAGGCCAGTCCTCCCCTTAGGGAGTTCTCAGAAATAAGACAGAGAAGGGAAGCGAGTGTGTGGCCTTCTGTCCCAGGGTAGATTGGGGTGCACAGCCAGATCCTCCCATGATCTTTGGGGACCAACCTTTCAAAAGGAAATGAAAACGCAAAAGCCTCTGGCTGGAAGCACACAACCAGTTTTTTAATAAAGTCATTACAAATATGTACAAAGCGTCTCCAAGGTACGAAATTCCTCTTACAAAAGAGCACAACAAACCAGCAAGGTTAGAACCCAGAACGGAATGTTCCCAAGCTTGTTGCCTCTCTGGCTGAGCCAGAGGCCTCGGTGAGGTTCCAAACACCCCCACAACCATGTCTGCCACATACACACATAGGCTCTTGGGCACTTATAGTGCAAAAGACTTAAGGGTTCAGGTCAGGGAGGGGACAGGAAAGAGGTAAGAAAAGCTTCCCATGTCCTAGGAATTAAGTTGAACAGGCCCTGTTTGCAAACTAGATGCTCCTTCCAGGGACCTTATAGAAATTAAGGACACAAATGGCAGGGAACAAATACATAAAATCCCCACCTAAACCATCCAGCCTGTCCTGGAGTGTCTCCAAATCCAACACTCCTTACAGTGGATCTAAATCAGGCTCCCTTGCTCCCTGCTGGGTCCCAGGCCGTGCTTGCCCTTGAACTAGCAGTACCCTGGAGCAGCTCAGGAGGGAATCCAGTGTAGCAGGGTAGTTAGCTCATGGGTTTGGGTGGTGGTCACACGGACCTGAGTTCAAATCTTGGTTTGGCCACTTCACTCTGTATGTGCGGCCTTTGACAAAGTTGCAAAATGTCTGAGTCTCAGCTTCCTCAACTGTAAAATGGGAATAATAACTACTGTCTTCCAAAATGGGTATGAGGAATAACTGAGGGGACACGTGTTAAGCACTCAGCACAGGGCTCCGGGCTGGTGAGCATGTGCTGTCGATGGTGGCTTTCGTTACCATATGAAGCAGCAAGAACCAGTCTCTTCATGCTGGGAGTGAGTTGAGATCACACGCTTTTAAATTGCCTTCACGACAGTGCGGTGCTCAGTAAATAGCAATACTACAGAACAATCTGCCAGCGAGGCTTGGGGTCATAGGGATGACCTGACGAATCTGTTAAAGACCGTGAACCAGACCAGAAAGGGACAATTAGCATCATCTGGTTCCAAGCAGAGCTGTCCCTCCTTGCTCCATACCTAAGTTTCTTCCCAGATGGGATTCTACAACCTGGCACATTGTAGGTGCTCAGTAAATAGGTATGGAATGAACAATTAATATTAAAAAAAAAATTGGTTTTAAGCTTTAAAATGACACTTTTGACATCAATATCCTCCATCACTATGGGAGTAGGCCAGGGTGTCTAGCCTGTCCCTCTTTGTCCCCCAAGCAACTCCCGACTCTGCTTGGCTCAGGCTGACTTAAGGAAAGAATCAGAAAAGGAATTGGTATCCACATAGAAGAACAAAACCTGTGTTCTGATCACTGCAGCTTCTGATACCAGGTGGCCACTCACAGTGGCAAACCAGTGTCCCCAAAGGATATTTGTGCAGGACCAACTGGATTCCCCCAATTTCCCAAAGAAGGGAAGTGATATTTTATCATCATCAGAAACGTAAATTGTGAAACCAAAGTCACGTTGTCCTGTGACAATATTATTTAAATCACCACTTTTTTCCCATCAAAATCGAAAAGAATTTCTTAAATGAGACCACTGGAAGAAGTGGAAAGGAAGTCTCCAGTAGCCCAAAGAAAGAGAGGAAAACAAAATGGGAACTGGGTTCTAGGAGATGCTCATGGCCTAGGACCATGGACAGCAGCCAGAGAGGGGAAAGGCGCTCCCCCCAACCCCCCAGAAATCTGTTATTCCAGCTACATCTTTGCCAGGATCGTGAAATGGAACCCCAATTTTGAAATGGGGTAAAGAGATCTTACTTGCTTTTGGGGGATGGGGAGAGAAGCTTCCAGAAGGGAATGGATCTAATTTGGAATGGGAACATTGAGGTCCCAGGAGGCTCCGATCCCTGTGGCTCCCGGACCCCCACCCTCTGAGAGCAACCAGCACCATCAGGAAGGAGGCCCTTCTGTTTCCTCCTCACCTCATTATGCAGCAAGCTACCTAAACAATGATCTCAGAGGCCTCCCTCTGCTTTGCACGGACATGCACACGCGAACGCACATGCACACACACACACACACACACACACTCTGCTGTCTGCTGAAACCCGATATGAGGTCTTTTTTAAAATTTATTTCAAAGCCTCCCTCCCTCTCCCTCTCTTCGCAGACGCTCTGCAGTGAAGCTAATCAAAATCAATGACTCCTTGGCAGCCAGAGAAAAGCGGGGGAGAGAGGGAGGGATGGTGCCAGCACTTTGCACACTGTGGAAATATTTAAAAAAAAAAGAAGAAGAAGAAGAAGAAGAAACACCACCCCACTATCTCATGCAATCCAAGTAATGCAGCCTCCGAGACGGTGGGGACAATATATACATATATATCATGCTTCAATTTCCTAATACAAATGTCCATCAAGAAGTCAAATCTCATATAAAAACAAGCATTAAAAACAACCCCTTGTCAAAAATCGGGGCAGTCGAGAAGTGCACTCAAATTAATGATGTGCAAGAAAAAGCCAGGATTAGATAAATACACAGTTTCTATTAATACAAGAGAATATGTACAAGGGACTTGGCTGTAAAGCTCCATCAGGAGGTCAAGGGTGCCCAGTTCTCAGCGGTGTGGCTTCATTGAAATCAAAATTGCCCCAAATGCCAACCTGGGCATTTGGATTTGGATCCTCCCTCAGAAATGTCAGAAGCTGGTAGGCAAGTCAGGGCTGAGAAAGGGATTCTCTGACCTTTCCCCCTCTCCCCTGTGTCTAGATGGCCAGCAGGGCCCCACTGCCATGTTGAAGGTGCAGCCTCAAGGCAGGAGAGAGCTGTGATCACATACCATTATAGTAATGAAAACCCCATCCCCAGAAAATAGGCTGAGCTGTAAAGACTCTAGCGTCTGGCTCAGAAAGGGACGATACAGAGACAGGGACTGTGTTTCCTATCATTCTAATAAATTTGCCTTCTCTAAGTTCGTGGCTTGCTGGGGATGTCGCCTGCTGCTCTCTGCAGACCCTGCCTACACACCCATCCCCTGCAAACATAACTGGGGGGGAGGGCCCCCCAGAATGAAAGGAAGCAAGTTCTCCATCAACAAGCTGGCTGGGGGTGGGGGTGGGGTCTGCCCTCACCTTCAGCAGCTTTGGGTCACATTTGTCTTTAAAGGTCTATTTAGGAAAACATAAGGCCTGGATAAAAGAAAGAAAGACCGCTCCCAGCTTGCAACAGCACTAAAAGGTCCTGCATTCTAAAGGACCTGGTAATTTTCACCACAGCCTATGGGGAATAATTCAGCCCCATGTCAACCTCAACAACGGCTGATCCCTCTGCTGGCTTCTTAGAACAGCAAGGGTGTCTGCTAATCAGTCCAGTGGACCCCCCTGTCCATAGGGACTGGGTGGTGGCCTGCAGAATGACAGTCTGACCCTGAAGCCTGGTGCCCCACCATCTCAGCTTTGCACACGGCACTGTGTAAGACCCAGCACAGAGGAGTAATACCTGGGGTTTTTTTTCTTTTACATTTTTTAAAAAATAAAAGCAAAATATAATCATTGCTCCCTGAAGAGTCTTTGCAGCCAAGTCTCAGTCCAGCACACATCTTTTTTTTTTTTTTTAGCCCTTCTAGAAACTTCTGAAAATAGCTCATCCTGGGGAAATCAAACAAAAAAATCAGACCCTCTGTCAGTCAGTGAGATGCTGGTGCATTTCATTTAAGTGACCCCCTCCCTCCCCCAGTGCCTCTTGCTTATAAATCACCCTTGACCAGAACGTAGCCATTTCTTGGCTCTTTAATCCATAAAATCTAAGCCCTGAAATACCCTTGGGGAGTAGGGGAGGCCATGGGCTGTACTCCCAGGGTACTTTCTCAGGGGCAGAGGATATAGCAAACAAGTCACATATGAGGTCAGCTTTCCACCTCAGTAACCAGCAAACACTCGATACCTCCCCCTCCCTTCCTCCCTCCCAGACCCCAGGGTTTGCTCCAAAACACCTCTGGATTTTTCATCCCCACAGAGAAAGAGCAGAGACTCTCAAGTGGCACTTTTGCGACTTGTCCCTTTAAAAAAAGAATTTGAAACAGCAAAATAGAACTCTCTCGTCCCCTGGCCTTGCAGTCTGGCAACAGAACGCCATGGCAGCACCGGCAAGAACACAGCACCAGCAAAATTTAGGTGAAGCACCAGAGACACCAGACTGGTAGGAAAAAAAAATCCCTTTTGTCTTGTTCTGACAGTGGGACTGGCTATCAACCTACACAGGTACAGAGAGACTAGGACTTGTCAAGACTTTTGGAAATGAAGGAATCCCAGACTGCCCCTCATCCTCCTCGCTTTCTTTCTTTTTTCCTTCTATTTTGCCTTTTGCAATTTTACTCTTTCCTCCACCAGCATCCCTCCCCAGGTGGTTGGTCAACTCTGGAGCTAATTCCCACCAGTCTTTGCAAATTTTCTAGGTACACAGTAGGCATCTCTCTTCCAGCGCCCCAGACATGGAAGTATCAAAGTCCACATGGGAAGGTGCAGAAAAGGGAGGGGACTTGCGTCCTCGACAAGACATGCACTGAGTAGTAATATTCAATATTTTCTTTTTTTATATATAGAGCTGTATGTAAATAGCATTGGGGTGTCTGTTTCTGCAGCTGGATATGCAAAGGGCTTCCCCAGTCCCTTTCGGCGTTGCTACTATTGGCTCTAGGCTCCTCTCCACTTCCTTCTCGAAGTGCCAACCGCGGCCTTTCAAGCTCCGGGCTCCCCCTCAGGAAAACGGGAACCAGCTTTCTCCAAGGACACAGGGTTTTCACCAACCTGCAGAAATAAAGAGTGGTATTTCAGTCAGTAGGCACGTGCAGACAGCTGCTAGGGATGACGTCAGTGCCTTGAGCCTGTGCACAGCCAGCCCCGAATGTCGAATGTTGGGAGGTGGAGGGGGATGGGAGAGAGCTGCTAGATACAGAGCTCTGATTTGGAGGAAAGGGTCCCCAGAAGCTAGATTTAGTGCCCACCCCGACCTCCACCCCAGCCAAAGCCTTGTCCACACAGCAGCCTTCCGTAAATGAACATTTGTACGCACACGCCCCCATTTCTGTTTTCAGACGTAAGCATCTTCTGTGATTAAAAGAGAGAATGTCGAACCACCCTGCCTTTTTGCTCCTCCAAAGCAGGAACAGGACACTCATCTGTTCATTTCACAGATCCATAGTCAAGGCAGGCTTATAGGACAGTCTCTGCTCCCATCCATTCATTCATTCATTCACTGCCAAACATAACAAGAACCAGGCTAGTAGGTGTTACAGATGCAATGACATAGTTCCTGCCTGTAAGGGGCTCAGAAGTCAAGAGAAAGCTGAGAAGAACTTGGTATCAACGACATTGTCTTGTGAAGAGCAGTCCGGATAAATGTGAACTATGGGGCCCCATAAGGGAAAGGGGGAGTCAGAGCTCTTGAGAGAAAGAGGCGGACTCCTCTGGAGGACTGAGGGATGCTAGGGAATCAGCCAGGATAAGATGAGGCATCCAGGAAGGGCAGAAAAAATAGCACATACCCCCCGAGAATCGAAAAACGTATTTTCATACAGGGGAGCCTAGATGAGTCAGGTCAGTTGGGCGACTGCCTTCGGCTCAGGTCATGATCTCGGGGTCCTGGGATCGAGCCCTGTGTCAGGCTCCCTGCTCAGCGGAGAATCTGCTTCTCCTTCTCCGTCTTCCTCTGCCCCTCTCCCTGCTTGTGATCTCTCTCTCTCTCTCTCTTAAATAAAATCTTTCAAAAAATGATTTAAAAAAAATATATTCAGGGGCGCCTGGGTGACTCAGTTGGTTGATCTTCTGCCTTCAGCTTGGGTCATGATCCTGGAGTTCCAGGATCGAGCCCCACATCGGGCTCCCTGCTCAGCGGGGAGTCTGCTTTTCCCTCTGCCCCTCCTCTTGCTCATGCTCTCTCTCTCTCTCATATAAATAAAATCTTTCAAAAAATTATTTTAAAAACATACATTCAGGGACATCTGGGTAGCTCAGTCGGTTAAGCATCTGCCTTCAGCTCAGGTTATGATCTTAGGATCCTGGGATCAAGTCCCATGTCAGGCTCCCTGCTCAGTGGGGAGCCTCCTTTTCCCTCTCCTCCCTGCTTGTGTTCTCTCTCTTTCTCTCTCAAATAAGTAAATAGATAAAATCTTTATAAAAACATATATTCACACAAAAACTTGTACGTCAGTGTTCATAGCAGCATTATCTGTAATAGCCAAACAGCAGGAACGACCCCATGGAAATGACCCCATGTCCAACGACTGATAAATAAAACAGAGTATTTCCAAGCAATAGAGTATTATTCAGTCATGAAAAGGAGACTGACACACTGCAATCTGGATGAGCCCTGAGGTCAATATGCTAAATGAAAGAAGCCAGACATCAAAGATCACGTACTGTATGATTCCAAGTATGGGACACACCCACAAGAGACAAGTCTTTAGAGACAGAAGTGGATTAGTGGTTGTCCACTGCTGTGGGATGGGGGAAGGACTTGCGGAGTCACCACTAATGGGTAAACAGGGTTTCTGTGGGGGAAATGAAAATGCTCTAAAATTGATTATGGGGATGGCTAGCACAACTCTGGAAATATAATTTTAAAAAATCATTGAGTTGTGCACTTTGAAAGGATGGGTTTTCTGGCAGGTGAATTATGTCAGAAGGATGAGGAAGAGGGAGCAGCAGAAGGGGATGGGGGAATGGCAGGGAGGAAGGGAAGAAGCAGGACAAGGGCAAGAACAGAGCGATGGAATATCCCAGTGAGTTCAAGGCGCTTGAGGAGGCTCCAGCAAAGCCCAGGCCATGGGGCTGGGGAGGGGTGAGGCCAGAGAGTTAGCAGGGACTAGAAGTTCGCAGAGGGACAGCATGTTAGTCCAAAGCAGGCGGCCGGCGACTTGCCATGTGAACCGTACAAATCAAGCAGAGTCTCGCGCAAAGTGGGAGAGAGATCACTTTCTGAGTTGGAAAGAATCCGGGATATTGACCTGTATGAACCGCGCCAATCGGTTTTCCTGCTGGGTCTAGTCAACAGAAGCCACCGATGGGGTACGAGACCAGGGTGTCTACTTCCCCGGCTCCCACCCTACCCAGCCACAGACCTCCGCCACCACCGAAGCCCCGATTCCCCGTCTGTCCCGTGAGAGCATCTGCGTCACTGCGTGGCCGCCCTTTGTTTTCATGGGAATCAGCCATCCACCAACACAGTTGATCGACACACTCCATTTAGTTCACGAAAATCTGCTTTCATAACCCCTAAAAACTCACTTTGTTGGCGCCTAGTCACACTGATCTGTGAAAAGTCAGTGGAACCCGCAGCAGTAGCCTGAGATGATTGCGCACAAAAAAGGGAGGATGGAGAGAGAGAAAGAAGCCACCTCTAGGTGCTACAGAGCCTGCTGACTCTGTGCTCAGCACTTTTCTGTGCGCTAGATGAGGCCTCAGTGCCTGCCCTCAATGTGCCTCCAGCCTTCCTCGGGGAGACATGACGTGCCAGAGGCCAGAACTGCAGAAGACCATACGTCCACAGGCGTATGGATAGCCCAGAAGTCAGGATGTGGCCGTGCTCACTAGGCAAGCTTCAGAGAGGAGCCAAAATTCGAACTTGGCCTTTAAGGGATGTGTTCATATTTTTTTTCAATAACTGGAAGAAGCAAGGATCACTTAAGTGGGGAAAGGAACAGAGCAAAGCACAGGGGCAGTGACACATACAGCTCAGTCAGGGGACCTTGGTGAGCAGGGACCTGCATCCCAAAGTTATGCAGAGTGAGGCCTCGTAGATACACCGTAGTTGATTGCTGGTGATGAAGGGAAGACGAGGATGGTAACAGGAGAGGGAAGAGAACTCTGTTTTAATGGCATGAATCAGCTCCATCCATGGGAGGAATGAATTGTTCTTGCAAAACTAGGTAGGACCAGCAAAGGATTTTCACTTTTCCTACCTGCAAATCATTAAGCCCAGAATGAGTGTTTCTAAGGGCTTCCCAGTGCAGCTCCCTGGACAAGGGCCCCTGCCTGGTTGCGTGGTTGGTGTCCCTAGAGATAGATGGACATCAGAGGCATGTCTCTGCTCGGCCAATGGAGGCCACGTCACCACGGCCCAGAGTCGGAGAGGGCGCTTGTGCATACGATTCTGGGGATCTTAAATAGGACCTGCTAAGTTAGTACGCTTGCCCATGGACATGGTCACCTAAATGTGCTCAAGGGTGTTCCCCCCGAGCTTTATCTGTAAGAGCAGCAGCTTGGAAACATCCCATATTTCCACCTGTAGGAGACCGGAGTAATAAATTGAGGTACCTGCGTATTAGAAAGAGGTAGATCTAAGTGTGCTATGATTCTTTTTTTTTTTTAAAGATTTTATCTATCTATCTATCTATTGGAAAGAGAGAGAGTGAAAGAGCAAGAGAGGGAGAGAGAATCTGAAGAAGACCCCGTGCTGAGCGCAGAGCCTGACATGGGTTCAATCCCACAACCCCGAGTTTGTGACCTGAGCCAAAACCGAGAGTCGGACACTTGACCGACCGAGCCACCCAGGTGCCCCTAAGTGTGCTACAACTCTTAACTAAAAAGAGCAAATGGCCAAACAGCATGATTCCAAGTCCTTTCTCCTTTAATGAATATATGTATATGGGTGCATATTTATACACACATACAGATATTTATATATTTCTATATGTCGATATAAAGGGGTGTACAGACATGCAAAATAGTGTAATGGTTAAGAGCACAGAGGCACCAGGGTGGCTCAGTCGGTTAAGCCTCCGACTCTTGGTTTTAGCTCAGGTTGTGATGAGCAGCCCCGTGAGATTCAGCAGCACGCCGGGCTTCGTGCTGAGTGTGGAGCCTGCTTAAAATTCTCACTCTCCCTCTGCTTACCCCCTGCTCCCTCGTGCTCTGTCCCAAAACATTTAAAATAAACAAATAAATAAATACAACTAACTACAGTTAACTCTTGCACAACATGGAGGTTAGAAGCGCTGACGGAACGGAAAACCCATGCCCCGCCCCGTGTAACTTTTGACTCTCCCAAAACTTAACTACTAATAGCTACTGTTGACAGGAAGCCTTGCTCATAACATAAACAGTCAAATTAACATATATTTTGCACGTTATATGTATTATATACTGTATTCTTACAATAAAATAAGCTAGAGAAATATAATTTAATTAAGAAAATTGTATAGGGGGGGCGCCTGGGTGGCTCAGTGGGTTAAAGCCTCTGCCTTCAGCTCGGCTCATGATCTCAGGGTCCTGGGATCGAGCCCCGCATCGGGCTCTCTGCTCAACGGAGAGCCTACTTCCCTCTCTCTCTCTCTCTCTCTCTCTCTGCCTACTTGTGATCTCTGTCTGTCAAATAAATAAATGGAATCTTAAAAAAAAAAAAAAAAGAAAGAAAAGAAAAAAAAAGAAAATTGTATGGGGCGCCTGGGTGGCTCAGTCATTAAGCGTCTGATTTCAGCTCAGGTCATGATATCAGGGTCCTGAGATCAAGCCCCGCATCAGGCTCCCTGCTCCACGGGGGGCCCTGTTCTCCCTCTCCCACTCCTTCCACTTATGTTTCCTCTCACACTGTGTCTCTCTCTGTCGAAAAAATAAGTAAATAAACTCTTTATTTAAAAAATCGTATTGAAAAAACATTGACAGTACCGTACTGTATTTTTTTTTTAATCTGCATATAGGTGGACCCATGCAGCTCAAACCCATGTTGTTCAAGGGTCAGCTGCATTTTCTTTTAGTTAACATATAATATATTATTTGTTTCAGGGGTACAGGTCTGTGAATCATCAGTC